ATATGTGTATATATATATCTCACAAGACTGTGTAGACTCCTGTGAAAGTCTTGAGTACATCCCATTATTTAATAAGTTGTAGAACCACCTTTAGTGACAAAAACTTGAAGTCATCTTTTTGTGACTGTCACATGACTCTAAAAATTGCTTCAGTTCAATCAGATTTGCAGTTATTTGTTTATTTACAGCTCTTAAGGTTCTGCAGTTGGATTGGAGTTTGGACTGAGCATTAAAGTGCTTTGATTCCTTTATTTTTTATCCAATTCTGATGTAGATTTGCATGGCACCATTGTTGTATGAGCCAGTTTCAGCCAAGCTTTAGCTGCTGGACAAATGTCTCACATTTGACTCTGAAACACTTTTGTATGCCAAGTAGTTTGCAGTTGATTCAATGACTACAAGATCTTATGCCTCAAAGTAAGCCCAAATCATCACGCCTTCATCACCATCAGCCAGACTGAACAAAACCAAGTCAAGGGAAGAATAACTCCTGTTCATTTTACAAATGATTTTTGACTTTTAAAGTCCACTCTGGGCTTGCACTGCATATCGAACATTTCCTGACACTGTGTGGCCTTGGTCTTAACTTGAGGTCCTCAGCTAGGACTCAGCCACTCATTCCACAGTCTTGACTCATAACCACATCAGAATTTTTTTTATCAGGCTGCCGATTCTTTGAAACATTCTTCCCGACAAGATCAGATTGGCTTTTTATGCCTGCACTTTGATTTATTTCTGTGTTGTGATTATTTTCCTTTTTTTCTTTTTTTGTTATTTTATATTTGCTTTGAAATTTTTTATTGCTGCTTTTCCCTCATACTTAATGTTGTTTTACGTTGATCTCTTCTTAAATGGTTCATTTGCCCTTTTCTTTCTATTTTGTAACAGAAAGAAAACTTTTTTTTTTTTTTAGATCACTTTATCACTACCAAAATATCTTTCAGATGTGTTTTATATTATTGTGTTACAGTAAAAATTCTTATCTTTGCTAAAAAAAAGAACATTGCCCTACACACTCACGGAGTATTGGCATTGCTGGCACTTCTTCAAAGGTGTCATATTAAGCTAAATTAAAAACGTGACATTTTTGTGTTGTGCTGCAGGTTCGTCAGCTGGAGAGAACGGTGAGCCTGAGGGACCTGTCCATCGTGGAGATGGAGGGGAAAATGAGAGAAATGTCCGCAGCCACTTATGACGGCATATTTGTCTGGAAGATCTCTGATTTCACCAAGAAGAGGCAGGATGCTGTGGCTGGCCGGGCCCCTGCTATGTTCTCTCCTGGTAACCACATTACACGATGAATTCCTGATTAAGGATTTCCACTTCCTGATGGAAGTAACATGACACTTGATTATTAGTGTTATTATTTAATGTACTGATGTTAATAATTTCCAGCCTTTTATACCAGTAAATATGGCTACAAGATGTGCTTGCGGATCTACCTGAATGGTGATGGGACGGGGCGAGGCACCCACCTGTCTTTGTTCTTTGTGGTGATGAGAGGACACAGTGATGCACTCCTCAAGTGGCCTTTTAATCAAAAGGTGAGAGCTTTATCATTCATGTTGCATGTATGAAATCCTGCATGTTTTCCATACAACATTAGTTACAGGAAAAAGTTGAGATTTTATAGTTATACATAAATATGAAGTCAAACATTATCAGATTTTCACACAGGTCCCATAAGTACTTAAACATGAATCATGTAATTAAACTTTATTTCTTCAGGATTAAATATTCTGTATCTGTGAAGATTAGCAGAAAATGCAAAGATTAAATTAGAAACAATCCGTTGATTGTTTTTCCACATTTATCCAGAAATCTGAGGCAGAGGTCCAAAGTTACCAAACATTTTTTTTTCTGCAATTTTATGTTCAAACATGGCCTCTGCACTGGTGGAAGTGATCATTGTCAGTTTTGAATGAGGCAACATCGGCTAGCAAAAAGCAAATCGGATACAAATGCAAATACAAATTAGATGCAAAGAGACAAATTTGCACCGGACGAAGGAAATGGAAGCTGTGTTCCTGATGGCACTGGCATACAAAAACAAGATATGGTTATTGTGGCCATCTTGTGCTGTATGATTAAACTAGTGTTTTTATTAAGAGCTCTAAAAATGTGTACTGTAACTTAATGTACATTGTTGGATGTCTTCCCATTGGCTGTTGTGACCAAGTATTTCCAAAAACATTAGAGCAAGTGTATTTGCATGAGTTACAGAAGGCAAAACTTTGGTTCATGTTTGCTGTAAACACACATTAAAAATCTTTAATCAGAAATTGCATTCTGAGAATTTGAACTTATTAGCGCATGTCAATGAAAGGAACAAGGTCTTTAAAACCTACATTCTTAATGTCAGTGGCTGAGGTCAAGGCAGCTTTCCAGAGAAATGATTGGGCATTAAGTGGTGGGCTTTTATGCATAAATCTACTTGAACAACGTCATTGTTTTTTCTTGTGAGAGTAATTACACTTCTGCACTCCTAACGTCTGCACAGGTCACCCTTATGCTGCTCGACCAGAACAACAGGGAGCACATAATTGATGCCTTCAGGCCTGACATTTCATCCTCATCCTTCCAGAGGCCTGTCAGCGACATGAACATCGCCAGTGGTTGTCCGCTCTTCTGTCCGCTCTCAAAGCTGGACTCTAAAAACTCCTATATACGTGATGACACCATTTTCATCAAAGCCATTGTAGACCTAACAGGCCTTTAGGTAAAAGTTGAGGGCATGAATCCAACTCTGCCTTTTGTTGCTACTAACCTGTTTAAGTCAACAGGATTTTGTATCACGAGAAATTGGGATTTGCCTTTTGACATTTATTTGGTTTTTTTGAATTTGGTATGATTTTATTGGTGGCAATATGCAAGACCAGAGCAAGTTCTTTTGGGCTACTTGCCACTGGCCAAAAACTTGTGTAGCCATTCTTATCTTACCAATTGAACTGAGTTTGTGTTTGACAAAAATTGCAAATACCTACCAAAGTGAAAATAACATCCATACTGGTATTTGGCTGATAATGTGTTATTTTCCCTCCCCCAAGAAGTCCCTCAGGCCAGTGTTTTGAAACAACTGTGCTATCCTAATGACAAAATAATAGAGAATAGCTAGCATGCTTATTATAAGTCCATCAAATGAAGTGTACGTTTTTTTAAGGAGTTTTTTTACAAACTCCTTAAAAATCTAATATTATTGGCAACCCTTAAAAGATTTAACAACAGGAGATTCGTTTAGCTGATAAGGTTTTATTTAAGTTTCCAGACATGTGTCTGACAACTTGGTGATGTGGTAAAAATAATTTTTATCTCCTTAGTACTGTTTTTGTCTCCACCAACTCTTAAAAAGGTTTTTGTGGCTTGTTAGCTAGCTAGCTAGCTAAACTAGCTACCAACTATCTTGTTAGCTTAATTTGTTTTCAGACAGTAGGTTTGGCAGTGAAAACAACTGCCTGCTGTTGGGAACAGGCTGAATCAGAGTGGTGTGACTGAATTAAAACTGTGTAATCGAGCTGTTTTATATGACATGTAGTTTTGTGGCCAATCATTAATATAAAAATTCTGGTAGAGCAGCTATAAAAAGAAAAAACAAACCAACTGTCCACTATAGTGCTCATGTTGAAGCTAATGCTAATTTGTTAGCTTATTTTAAACATTTAGCTTAAATTTGCAACACCAAAACCTGTCCTAAATGACTGAAAATATTGAACCTTAGACCAGTGACACCGTAGCTTTGTATTTTGAACGACTTACAGACATTGCAAGGTCTAGGCTCTTTATTGAGTTTATTGCCTAGCATTTGGTAAGCTGTTTTTTTTTTTTCTTTCTTTACAGTCAAGTTTGTCACACTGTTAAAGGAACTGTAACAGTGTGACACCCATGTAGCCTACAGAATATTGCGCAGCTGTGCACACAGTTTGTAGTGCAGTAGAATTTCAAACTGGTTTGCTTTTTTTTTTTTTCCCCATTCTGTGCCTCCAACTCAGACTCCTGTGTTCATTGATAATCATTTGTGGTGGTGGGCATTGCTTGAATTCCATGAATTCTGAATGCAGTATTTCACTCGAACGTTCGGTCTGTGAGTGTCTGTGTTCATGTGTACACTGTTCCATTTCTATTGTTATTTGCAGGGTTAGTTAATGTTGGATCTGTGGAAGATACAGTAGCTTGCAGCAGTGTGCTGTTTGCCCATGAAACAGTAACAGAGATGGTAGTTGAGCTGATTTGCCCAAATGGAAATGCAACATATTTTATTAAAAATAAACATATATTTGCATACAGGTTCTAAAAAAGTCTATAAGTATCTTTTGATAGTAATCTCTGGCTTTTTCAAAAAAGTATTTGTTCTAGCTAATCCAGTTGATGTCGATTGCTTGGTTTGTAACGTTGTTCAGTTGGTTAGTACATGTTAGAATAGCATCCACAGCCAATGGGACGTTTTTTTTTCTAGCTGAATATTACATTGTAAAGAAATAATTAATGTTTTTCACTTCCCCTGTCAGTGGTTTTAATATTGTGACAGTTCGTCCATGTGATACTTGGGACAGTTTACTTGTTAAACTCTCAAAAGCTCCTGAGATGGGATGAGACAAATCACTGAAACTGGTGACACTGAAAGGAAATGTGCCCCCTACTAGCTAGTGGGTAACATGATTTTCTCTATGAACAGTACCTTTAACAGTACAGAAAGTACATCAAGTGTGATCACAGAAACACAAAGTCAGAACAAAACTACACTGAAACATGAATACAGTGATGCAAAGTGAGAAAATAACTACTATGATACAGACTAATAAAATAAGTACAAAGTGATTCAAAACCACAAGCTGGGGAAAATGACCATAAGTAGCTAAATCAAGAGAATGTCACCAAAGAGATTTAAAAATGATTTAAAGCAACAACTACAGAAAGATGCAAATCTATTTTGAAGAGAGTACATAACTGCAAAGATCAAACAACAAAGACTAAAGGATTACAAAGATATGCAGAGAAAATGATGCAGAATAAACAGATTCAGGGAGATGGATTACTATTCCAAAACAAGACCTACAAAGAAAAATCCTGAAGACCAATGGCTACAAAATGATATCACCTATCATCAACATAATTTCAAGAGAGATATATTTGCAGGAAGATTTAAAACGATCTAAAAGAAGGAAAATGACTACGCAGAATAACTAAAAACAGACCTAATAATTACAAAGAGAGACAAAGAGATGCAGAACAACTTCAAAGAGCCATCTCTTCAGCGAGATGCAAAGCAATTTTAAAGATAAAAAATGTCCACAAAAAGAAAATAACTGTCCCCACAAGAAGCCCCAGAACAAACAGATATGTTGAATGAATAAAATGAGATTCAGATGACTTCAAAGACACAGAGAGATGCAAAAAAAACTACAAAGACCAGATGACTCCACAAATAATGTAAAACATAAATAGATGTAAAATAACTACAGAAGAGATTGCTTTGAAATGGTTTTCAATGTCAAAAAGATAGGACAAACTTAATCAGCAAGTACAACGACAGTGCGATATGAAAAATAATTTCAGTGATGGAAAATTCCCATAGGGGAATTTAAAATGTGTACAGAGACAAAAAAAAAAGACCCACCTCAAAGAGAGACAAGAGTACACAGACATGCATAAAACAGTCACGCACTGAGATGTAATGAGTACATGGACACGCTGCTTGTAGTCATTTTGTGTTTCTTCGAGTCTCACCGTCTAGTTCTTTTGTCACAGAGGGTCTCATAGTCTTACAGGCTACTTTAAGTTACAAACCGTAGCGTTTAATTGATATTATTTAGCTTAAATTATTTAATCTTCATGCTGTGAGGTTATTAGATGCAGAAAACTTCAAGATTGCTGTATTTTCATATGGGTGTAACCTTTGTTCTCAGACACAGGCGTGTGGAGACTGGAGCTGAGTGAGATACGAAAATCTTGGGTTGGAATCCGAGTTGAGATATTAAACGAGCAAATTTTTGATGATGTTGTAATATTATCCTATTTTTGGCTTTCTTCACAGGTTTGAACTGACCTACTTTTTACAGAAAAAAGAAGTGCCTGTACCTGTAGTGTTTTTTTTGTTTTGTTTTCACGATCCCATTAGGATGAGAATGTGCTTTTCTGTGAGTTCAAACTCACAATATGACGCTTTTGATTTGTGCGGTATATTTATTTATTTTTTAAAATTCAGCATTTTTATTATCCTTCTTTTACGAGGCCCCTTTACTAGATGTGATAAAACTTAAGTGACTTAAGAATGTTTCTCTTTACATACATAAACTAGTGAATGTTAGATGTTATCTTTAATGGAAAACGAGGTCAGCGCATTGTAACTCGCAGCTTTTGGCATCTGCACCTAAACACATCGGCATGTTTTTAAATCTGTCAAAGGACACTGATACCTCTCTGTGCATGAGATGTGTCAGTAGGAAAAAAATACATGTATTACTGGTTCATATTGTAGACCAGCATTTTATTTTTTTATGATTTCTTGATATAGTATAAAACATATGAGTGTGTGTGATCTAATTTTGATGCTGTGCTCAAGTTTGAAGTGTGTGTGAGTTAACCATATCTTAATAATACATAGATTTTATTTATTGAAGAAGTTATATGTTGAGACAGTTTAAAAGCATGCGTTAGCTGATGGTGACAAGATGCAGCTGCGGTCTGACCTCAGCAGCTTTTTTTGCTTTCTGGTTATTTCAGAAACATATTTCCTCTGTTATTCTCTTTAGAATACATTGGTATTATTGCACATTATGTAGATTACATTTTGCATGTGTAACTGCAGCATCAAATGAATTAGCTGCTACATTTGTGTGACCCTCCAGTGTGCGCTGATCGGAGCTCATAGATGCAGCCTTGCAAGCACTATGCGGACATTCATATTTAATCTTACAAAATGTGCGACCTGATGTGAGCCAGGACTTCAAATTTCTTATTAACAAAAGGGCTTCACATTTCCTTTTCATCCCCTAAATGTCACATGCAGACATACATAGACATGTCCAGTTTTGGTCCAGCTTATAGCTTGAACTGTTTAATAGAGGGGAAAAAAAGAAAGGAAAAAAAAAACCCTTCACAGGCTGGGGAACAAAGTCACATTTGAGCCGATTGATGTTATGCTGTATCAGCGATACTGACTTGTAGGAAATGCCACACTGCCTCACTGTTATTGCAACAGAATAAACACTATGTCGATGTGATGTGTGAACTTCAAATAACTCTTCAGAGCTGACAAACTAAACCAGGTTGGTTTAAATTATTTACATATCTGTTTCTCTCTTCGTGGATCCGAAGCCCATGTTGAGATTAAGATGACGAGCTTTCATCTGTAGCAATGACATCAAACTGCAGTCTTACTTGTTGTTCTCTCTGCTACATTCTGTGGATAGTAAGTCACGTGTTAGTAAACTCTTTGTACTACAGGAAATTTGTTCCATATTTGTATTTAATTTTGACTTATTAAAGGTTTTAAGATGCCCTCTATGCAAAGAACTGCCATGTCTCTCAATTTGTTCACACTCATCAATGTCCTTGAATTCACTTCTACCACATGAGGGCGCTCAATGCAAACACATACACATACAGTATTTTGTCCTTTCAGAGGGTAGGCCAAATTCATGGATCATAGTAATGTCATGTGATGGACTGAAAACAAATGGCATTTATGCTGATAATTAATCAAACACATTAAAAATTAACAGTAACTTTTTCTTTTTTAGAAATAACATTTATAGAGGGTTTAAAGAGAGTTTTGCAAACCTATAAAATACTTTCTTTTAAAATATATACATTCAATGACTCGATATGATACTGAGTTGGCATAAAAAGGTATAGACTGTATATAAATGTGGGCCGCCTGGAATTTATACTGTATTCCACTTTCGGATGCAGTCAAACTAAAATGTTAACACATATGAATGTTTCTGAAAAGATGCATTCTGCCATCTTATGTATTTCTTACACTGATATAAGTCCAAGAGGCCATTTTTTCATACATTTGGTTCTAATCAATAAGTTACTGTTTTCAAACAGAGTTCAGTATCATTGTTAGCTGGAGTCACAAAGGGTATCTCTATTCAGGAACTGTACATACAGTAGAAACAACTGACCAGAAATAAAGTGCTTACTCCAAACTTTGTCTTACCTCAACAGTCACTTTCAAACTGGACTAGCTGATCTGAATTAACATATTTCTGTAAGTTAAACATGGTTATAGCCGACACCTAAAAACAAAGGCTCTAGATGTCCTCAGATGCGAAAAATAATTTACAGTGGGGCAAAAAAGTATTTAGTCAGCCACCGATTGTGCAAGTTCCCCCACTTAAAATGATGACAGAGGTCAGTAATTTGCACCAGAGGTACACTTCAACTGTGAGAGACAGAATGTGAAAAAAAAATCCATGAATTCACATGGTAGGATTTGTAAAGAATTTATTCGTAAATTAGGGTGGAAAATAAGTATTTGGTCACCTCAAACAAGGAAAATCTCTGGCTCTCACAGACCTGTAACGTCTTCTGTAAGAAGCTTTTCTGTCCTCCACTCGTTACCTGTATGAATGGCACCTGTTTGAACTCATCATCTGTATAAAAGACACCTGTCCACAGCCTCAAACAGTCAGACTCCAAACTCCGCCATGGCCAAGACCAAAGAGCTTTCGAAGGACACCTATGAAAAGTATTGTAGACCTGCACCAGACTGGGAAGAGTGAATCTACAATAGGCAAGCAGCTTGGTGTGAAAAAATCAACTGTGGGAGCAATCATCAGAAAATGGAAGACATACAAGACCACTGATAATCTCCCTCGATCTGGGGCTCCACGCAAGATCTCATCCTGTGGGGTCAAAATGATCATGAGAACGGTGAGCAAAGATCCCAGAACCACACGGGGGGACCTGGTGAATGACCTGCAGAGAGCTGGGACCAAAGTAATAAAGGTCACCATCAGTAACACACTACAACGGCAGGGAATCAAATCCCGCAGTGCCAGACGTGTTCCGCTGCTGAAGCCAGTGCATGTCCAGGCCCGTCTGAAGTTTGCCAGAGAGCACATGGATGATACAGCAGAGGATTGGGAGAATGTCATGTGGTCAGATGAAACCAACAGAGGTGTGGACTCGAGTCACATGACTTGGACTCGAGTCAGACTCGAGTCATTAATTTTATGACTTTAGACTTGACTTGAAAAAATGTTCTAAGACTTGTGACTTGACTTGGACTTTTACACCAATGACTTGGGACTTGAATTGGACTTGAACCGGTTTACTTGAAAAGACTTGATATTTTACCCCAAATATAAAATTTAACATGCATATTATATAGAGATTGAAAATGTGACGTCATTCACGGGTAGAACCGCAAAGGATTCTGGGAACTCGTGGCAAGCGGTACTAGCGCACGCAGGCTTTCAATTGAAACCAGTCACACAGCGATAAAAAGAAACACAAAAATGTCAAGAAGCTGTTGTGTTATTAACTGCAATAGCTGGTCGCATGACAGCCACGGGAAGCCGACGGGTAAAGAGATCGGTTGTTATCGGATTACGTCGTTGAAGAGAAATTGTTCGAGCCATGTTTCCGAAGTAACAAAGATGCGACTGGATTGCAGCCATTCAAAGACCAATTATAACGTCCCAGAACCCTCCAGCTCACAGGTTAGTCTGCTCCAAGCATTTCCACAAAGGTCAGTCTGCTGTTGTAGTTAATGCGTCATTTTTCTTAACATAATTGGTGATATAGGTTACAAGCAAGTCTGGCGCTGAACAGAAATTGTCGCGCTATGCTCCTTTGTTTATTGTGCATAAATAGTGAATTGTCCTGACAGAATATTGTGTTTCGCTTCTGTTATTATGGTACATTGACAAAAACATATACTTTTATTCACAGGGTAAAACAGTTGTTTTGTATCACTAATTGTCCAGTGCGATTACAGCATACAATATTATTGTCACTGCTACATTTCTGTGATGCTACCAGAAATTATTTCCACTGCTAATTAACTACCGTTGAGCTCAAAGGTCCTATTAATAAACGGTTAACGAATGTGTATTTATGACGACGATTTGTGAGACTGGTAAACTTATGATACGTACGATGGTCTTTACTTTCTACACGGTGCATTTCAAGGTCCTGCACCCATCCGTCGGTAAACTGTACCTGGGCTTGTTGCAGTGACCGGAAGTTACTAAACTTCATGAGTGTATGCACTCACTCCAAGAAGCGTATAATTATAAATATGCATATAAATATGCTACGATGAGATAGCTGACTTCATCTAACTAGCAAATGTTTTCCAGGCTACGTTGGTGATGCAGTTTTTTTTTAAATTATATATTTTTTAAAATATCATTTATTTATGTATGATATTTTTGTCATGCGATTTTAAAGCCGGTCCTACAAGCGCATCCAAGAATAACATGCAGCTTATCTCAGAACTGTCGGTGAAAATTATTCTTGGAGCTAGGTTTAATTGAGCTGCATTTTAAAGAGGTGCAATTTCACAATTTGTGTATATTTTCTAAGTTCACTATTATGTCATGTGTTGAGAAAAACACAGATTTAAAAATTACATGGTCTAATATTTACATTTAGCATATAACTGCAACATGCTTTTTTTCGTTTTTTTTTTAAAGACTCGAAAGGACTTGAAATTCAAAATTTCAGACTTGTGACTTTACTTGGACTTTTACACCAGTGACTTGAGACTCGACTCTGACTTGCCTGACATTACTTGAGACTTGACTTGAGACTTGAGGATAAAGACTTGAGACTTACTTGAGACTTGCAAAATAATGACTTGGTCCCACCTCTGGAAACCAAAGTAGAACTTTTTGGTATAAACTCAACTCGTCGTGTTTGGAGGAAGAAGAATACTGAGTTGCATCCCAAGAACACCATACCTACTGTGAAGCATGGGGGTGGAAACATCATGCTATGGGGCTGTTTTTCTGCCAAGGGGACAGGACGACTGATCCGTGTTAAGGACAGAATGAATGGGGCCATGTATCGTGAGATTTTGAGCCAAAACCTCCTTCCATCAGTGAGAACTTTGAAGATGAAACGAGGCTGGGTCTTCCAACATGACAATGATCCAAAACACACCGCCCGGGCAACAAAGGAGTGGCTCCGTAAGAAGCATTTGAAAGTCCTGGAGTGGCCTAGCCAGTCTCCAGACCTCAACCCCATAGAAAATCTGTGGCGGGAGTTGAAAGTCCGTGTTGCTCGGCGACAGCCCCAAAACATCACTGCTCTCGAGAAGATCTGCATGGAGGAATGGGCCAAAATACCAGCTGCTGTGTGTGCAAACCTGGTAAAGACCTATAGTAAACGTTTGACCTCTGTTATTGCCAACAAAGGTTATGTTACAAAGTATTGAGTTGTATTTTTGTTATTGACCAAATACTTATTTTCCACCCTGATTTACGAATAAATTCTTTACAAATCCTACCATGTGGATTCATGGATTTTTTTTTCACATTCTGTCTCTCACAGTTGAAGTGTACCTCTGGTGCAAATTACTGACCTCTGTCATCATTTTAGGTGGGGGAACTTGCACAATCGGTGGCTGACTAAATACTTTTTTGCCCCACTGTAGATGCTCTCTTGCTAGGCAGTAAGCCATCTTCTATGACGATTGCTCTCTCTGAAAGCAAACCAATAGCCATGATCCTGATCATGAAGGAAGTGGACAGTCTGTGTAAATGTTGGAAGCAGCTCTACAGCTGCCAACAGATGTCCACAAAACTGACTTGAGTAAAAAAACGTGGAGGAGGAACACAACTGAATGTTACTCAAAAATGTACATCAAAATAAGATGATCAGAGATGAAGATTGCAAGGTTCAGGCAAAAGGGTTGGTGTCTGTACTGTAACTCTCTGTGTTAGTGTGGGGTCTTTACAGGTGATTGTTGTTGTGATTTGGCTGTATTTAATTAGACTAAATTAAAAATACTGCTTTTCTATGTTGTAATGCTAATGCTTAGCCTTCAGCTTTTAGAAGTAAGCATAAAGATCAAACAATGTTCTGAATATCTTATGATGAAACACATTCTACTAACAGTACTTGCCATTATATCCTCTTCTTTAATATGGGTGTAAATTAATAAGACTGAAGAAAACACAAGTTTATCTTCCTGTCAAAATGATGTCCCAATCATTTTATGTAACTACCCAGACTGCAAAAAATATATAAAAATCTAATATAAAAACAGAGACATTTAGTGTATTTTTTAAATATCAGATTTAAACCACTGATGTTAATGGTAACATAACAAGGTATACTATCTTTCTAATTATCATTCCACCAGAAAAGTTCTGGAAAAAGTTCTTATTTGTAATAAATAATACACACAAACAGATCAACCTTTGTTAACCTTTGGAGCATGGGAATCCATACATCTATATCTCTCTTTTATTTCTCTCTCTGCTTTCAGCTTTCTTGCAATGGTAGAAAATGTTCTGGAAACACAGATGCTGTATGCAGTTGCT